TCGTCTCCTCTTTTCCAAGCTGAAAAGTCCTAGCCTCTTTCATCTCTCCTCATATGGGACCCGTTCCAAACCCCTAATCATTTTAGTTGCCCTTTTCTGAACCTTTTCTAATGTCAATATATCTTTTCTAATGCCAGTATATCAGTAGCCCTATAATAATTGCTGACATTTCAAAAGCAAATGAAGAGCTTAGAAAAAGTATTATAATTCCAATGATAACTTTTATCGTTAAACTAAATAACAATGCAGTATCATCTCTGCTGACTTAACACATCCCAATTTCAGAACATCTACTTGTGTAAGTACAACAGTACTTGTGTAAAAGCAGTAGCAGAAATATTTGGTGTAGAGGGAAAGGGAAGAGACAGTCCACAGGACAAGGTAAGTTTATTTACCCCCCTAAATTTTTAATTTTGTAGTTTCCTGCATTTTGACTAGAGTACATCTGCCTCATCCCACAATAAACCAGAGGTTGGAAAAACAACCACACATCTGAGGAGCAAGGTCAGCTACGGAAGATACCCACTTGGTCAATGAGGAGCAGAACTTGTAACTACACTCATCTATCTAATCTGCTTCATAGTGTTTCAGGGACCATTTCCCTGAGACAAGCAAACTTTTTAAAAATGTACCAGCTCTAAATTGAAACCTCTTTTCCCAGATAGGCTTCAATTCCTAAGAACTGAAACAAAGCAGTTTTCTTAGATTGTAGTTTGCTCTTCACTAAACCCAGTTGCATTTTAAAGTGACTAGAACCAAACTGAATATGATAGGCAGACTTTTGGAACTGCTGCCCCAAACAGCTGGAATAAGCTACCTGTTCTGTTTAAGTAGGTACTGTCTACTTTGAAGAAACTTTTGAACTATCATCTTGAAAGGAACTGAAATAATAAGCCACATTTTAGTGTAAATAAGGACAGAGTTTGGCCTTTGGACTGCAGAGTGTTTTCTGCTATTTTAGGTTAATTGTCTTGCATATAATATTGTTGGTACAGCACTGAGCATGTAGCTATAAAACTGTATGAATGCTGTTTCTCAACAGCCCTCATGAAAAGGAGATGTTTATTTTATAAGGTTATCCCAGTGAGCAACATTTTAAATATTAAATGTGTACTTCCTCATTCACAGTGAGGGAAAAAAAGTGGGGGAACTCAAGTTACTTATGAATTTATTGCAATGCCCTCTATTTGGGACTGCAGCTGAAGACCTCTCAAACTTCAGATGATACAGAATGTGGCAAACTGTTTATTTAGTGGCATTTTCTGCAGAGACTATATTACACCTGTGCACCATAGTAAGCAGCAGCTTCCAGGGTAAGGTTTAAAGATTCTGATTTTAACTTATAAGAGCACTAAATGATTTAGGTTCTGGATACCTTATAGACTTTCTATCTCTTTGCATGTTACCCTGGCAGTGGAAAACAGCAAGGTGCTTAAGCAAACAGCTCTCAGGTTTAAAAGAAGATGCTTTTTCGAAGGATATTTTCAGTCTTCACCTTCACAACTTGCTCCCTCCACCTCAGTTTGTCAGAGCCCAAATTTGTTTGCCTTCCAGCCTTCTGGAGGGTACAGAGGATAATTAAGATTCACTGACAGAATTTTGATATGGACAATGGTTGTATTTGTACCATGGACATGCCCTTAGAGTGTGGACAGGTAGTTTTTTTTGTTAAGCTTGAAACTTAGCCATCTGAGCTGAACCCACGCGTAATATAACGTTACTAAATTCACATCCAAATAAAACAGCTAAGTTACTTAAAGATCTGATCCTGTCACTCTTACACATGTTGAGTAGTAACGTACGGCAAAAATAATACCACTGAAACCTGTGGAGACAACTGCTACTCCACATAAGTAAGTGGGGCAAAACTGGACCTTCAGTAAATAATGCTGAAGCAGAAGTCTTAGTTGAGGAGCAATGCATAACTGATCAGTCTAATGTGATCTTCAAAGGCAGTTCTCTCTCTCTTCATTTCCCATTTCATTATTCTTTTTTAGTCAAGTAAACAAGCTTTTTGTATTTAATTCAGGAGAAGAGCTGAAGTTTAGCAGTTAACTTTGAGCACTGCCAGTTTTAGAAATGACAAAATATATATTTATGAAAGGAGCAAGACAGGCAATCCTATTAAGATAAACATATTTGATTAATGCTATGATATACACAACATTAAAAAAATCCACTACTGAATGATTACCATATGGTGGTTCTTTGCAGATGGAGTTTTCACCAGTGATCAACTGTACCAAAACATCTAAAAATAAAGTCATCCTAAACTAAAACAATTACCAGCAGAGGCTTCTGCATTCTAAGCTAAAGAATCAATACAAGCGGCAGAAATGTTTCAAGAAAGTATGTAAACAACCACTTGAGAAAAATAGCAGTGTAAAACTATACTGCCCCACAAACTTGAGCAATAAATGTAGTATACCTCTTTGGGTCTCTTTCAAAAGTCTATTCTTAGCTGTCAGAGGAACCCAATCCATTTAAGTAAAACCTTGGCCTACAAACACACTCACTGAGTAAGTGAATCTTAACAAATCTAATTTCAATGAAAGGGACTAGCTGCGTCAAAGAGCAGTTCCTTGGTGTTCTTTGCTCCAGTGGTTTCACATAACCACTGATCACCACCAACCACTACAATATCAAACATACAACACCCTTAAACTAAATGGGAGTTGTCTGTCTAAATATAGCTACTTTTAAATAATGCATCATGAGTTATAAGATAAAGTGCTAGTGAAGTATTTATTACATCTCTTTTCTTTAACAAAGGTATATCACTTTTAACTAGGTGAAGAGAGTTATTTATATTCTGGTTTGCATACTGTGAGTTGTAACTGATAAAGCAAGAATCTAGATTTCCTGAACGCACACTGCACAACAGTTAAATCTGTAGTTAGTTCTTCCTATACAACTCTGATTCACACACACAAAACAAAACAAACAAACAAAAAAAGGAACAAAAGATGAAAACTAAGTTAAGTAAAAGCGTCAATTCATTGGGTGTCTTTTTAGCATACAAGACAACAGGAGACTTGTGGAATCTTATTTCTCATAGAACTGATTCTATCACATTCATATACTCCATAACATCTCTTTATGTGATTATAAACCTTTTCAGAGATGCTTGAAAATTAACAAACACACCTAACATTGCTATATTAAAAAGAAGTGTCACACATTGTTACTTTTTAAATATTTTGAAGATAGTCACATACAAGAGATGTCAAGACTGAATTTTTTTTATATGGTTTTAAGTTTAAAGAATATGCAATATTTGTCAAAAACAAATTTTAAGTAATGCTTTGCTACAAGAATTTCCCCCAATGGGGAAAGTACAGATATGTAATAGTAAAACTGACTTTTAGTAACCAAAAGGGAATGTCACAGTGCTTCTCAAGCTATCTGATGTGGGGGACTAGCAATTTTTTCCCCCCAATGTGCGCGCAGACCGGCAGCCGATGGCTCGTGGACCGTCACAAGTCCACAAACCACCACTTTGAGTAGCACTGGAATGTCACCCTATCTTCTTAGCAGGGGATTTCTGAGTAAGATTTCTTCCTACCCTAAACTGTTGTATAGTGTTACTCTATGCTGTTAAACAGTTAATGCTTTTCACCTGGAGGTGGCTGCACTTAATCTTTTACTTAAGTGAAATCCATATTCTGCCGCTGATCCTCAAACTACCTGTTGTATAGACTATGTGGGCATGCAGAGTCATTTTGCCCCTAAAAACTGATTTTATAATTGCTTAGTAGTACAATGTCTTTACTGACTTCACTACATCCATAGAAACATTAACTTCAATGGGGCACTGGGCAGGCAGAGTTTCTCTGTACTGATCCAGTTGCAGGATCAGGGCATAGTTTGTAAAGTGTTTTGAGAGCCTCTTAAGTATTTAGCACTGGTTATTTAGAGGTTTCAGAGGAACAGCCGTGTTAGTCTGTATTCGCAAAAAGAAAAGGAGTACTTGTGGCACCTTAGAGACTAACCAATTTATTTGAGCATGAGCTTTCGTGAGCTACAGCTCACTTCATCAGATGTATGCTGTAGCTCAGGAAAGCTCATGCTCAAATAAATTGGTTAGTCTCTAAGGTGCCACAAGTACTCCTTTTCTTTTTGGTTATTTAGAGCCTCAAGAGCAATCTTATCTGCATTAGTTTTACAGGAAAGGTGTGAAGTCGATAAGAATGAGAAAGTAATGTAAGGTTTCAGACTAGCAGCCGTGTTAGTCTGTATCCGCAAAAAGAAAAGGAGTACTTGTGGCACCTTAGAGTCTCTAAGGTGCCACAAGTACTCCTTTTCTTTTTAAAGTAATGTAAGCAATTCCCACCTGGGTGACTTCAAAGCCCCGAGCCAGCCAGAAAACTTTCCTTTAGGCATTAACATGAACTTTTGGCAACTATTTTTACGTATTCACGCCTAACCGGAGGAATGGATAGACGTTTCCTTCCATATTTCCAGCGTGGGTTTCAAACGGAAATCATGTTTCCTTCGCAGCTCTCCTGCTTTCAAAGAGGAATCGTACGTGCCCTTGGGGGCTTCAAAAACTTGTGCCTGTACTTGGCCGTAGGTAAGGAGCTGGTCACTGGGGCTAGAGAGCTCCCCACGAGCTGGGGCACACACTGGACCCAGCCCCGCCTGGCGTTCTCCCAGCGCTGAGGCCGCCCAGCTGGGAGCCCGAGGGGCATGCAATGGAGAGTGAATGGAGAAAGCTCCAGGGCTGGGCTTCGGCCAAGGAAGAGGCGCTGGGCTGGCGGGACGGATGCTGCCCCTCTCTGCCCGGGACGCAGCAGGCGGGCTGCGAGCTTTGCAAGCGGCTCGCACCGAGCCCGGTCGCTCAGCCCCCCCTGCAGGCGGGGACAGAGGCGGGCGCCCCAGCTCGGGGGAGGCAGGAGGAGACCCCAGGGGCTGGGGAGGCACGCGGCAGCCTCTCGGGCTCCAGCAGGCAGAAGCTCCCCGGGTGTGCCGGGGACCATCCCGCCCGGCGCGGCTCTTACCTTGCTGCGGATCTGGCCCGAGGTGGACACTTTCCGGATGAGTTTCTGGGGGCCCTCGTGCTCCCCCTCGCTGTCCGAGGACTCGTCTCCCGCCGCCGCCGGGGGCTGGGGCTGCTGCTGGATCCCGGCCCCGCTCATCCTCGCCTCGGCCCCGGCCATCTTCTCGGACTCCTGCCGAGAGAAACACACGAGTTCGGCTCAGCCCGGGCTGCCGCTGCCGCTCCCCTCCCCGGGCAGGAGGCGGCGCAGGAGGGGGGCGGAGGAGGAGGAGGAAGCGGAGGCGGCGGCGGGGACAAGCCGAGGAGGAGCCCGCAGCCAGCGCTGGAGGAGCGGCCCGCTCGGCCGCCATCTTCCGCCGCCCTCCCCCCAGCGCTCCGCGACCGCGGCAGGGCCGCGCTACCGGCTCCCGCCTGAGTGGGGGGGCGGCCGCTGCGCCCCGGGAAAGCGGCGGGGGACACGCTCCCCACTGAGCCGGCTCCTCCTGCGCCGCCGCACAGCCCCGGGCCTCAGAGCAACAGGCTGGATCGCGCCCCCGGGGCGCTCAGGATCCAGCCCACGACGCTGCCGCAGGTCGGAGCTGGGGTGGGGGGCATCGATCCCGCCGGGGCCCCGCGCCTCAGTCTGGCCGGCGCCTGAGCCGCTGCGGGGGGCTGCGTGTTCCCCTCCCCTGCTCGCTGCCCAGCCGCCCTCTGTGCAACTTTCCGCGCTGCTTGGCTGTACAAAGGGACCTATGGCCCAAGGGGGGGCAGCCGTAGGAGCCACGGCGTGCCTGGCCGCTGGGCGCTCCAGGCTGGGGGCGTGCAGGACGAGTGCATGCCCCCCCGCCCCCCAAACGCGGGCCGGTCCCACCACGGCAAGCGCAGGGGCTTTGTGGTTTGCTGCTGGAGTCTCAGCTGCTGACTTTACTCTCGCAGCCGCACTCTGACCGCTGTGTGGGGATGCTGAGCCGCTGCCAAGCAGGGGTGCCGGAGGTGGAAACCATGCACGTGGTGTTTGTTATTACTACTTCAAGCTTGCTGCACCCCCAGTTCCAGCACCACTGCTGGTAAGAAGTCTAGTCAGTTCCCCTAGAAGTCAATGGCTGTGTCTTCATTGCACCACCAAACTTTTTAATCTGGATGTAAAAATCCTAGAGAGTTCTCCATGTAGCTAGTAGAGGTAGACCCCACGTGGGAGGTGTAGTGTTAACTCCAACTAGCTACACTGAGGTGAAAAATGCCGTGGCCCTTGTCTCCACTAGGAGTTTACATTAAGAGAGTTGTCTCTAGATTTAAAAAACAACAATACACCTTTATTGTAGTGAAGACAAAGTTAACAACCCCAGTGGTAGTGCGACCAGCATGCCTAGCAATAAGAAACACACTATCTGAGGGCTTATCTACATTACAAAGTTTTGCTTCTTTAAAGCTGCAGACTTCCTCTAGTGTGTATCACAATAAAAGTGCTTTGTACAGGTATAACTTCTTGTGGTTCAGGAAGCATAATAATGTATCCCAGCATAAAGCACCTTTATACTGGTATAACACCATACGCAGTAGGGTTTATAATTATATAAATATATAGGTTTTTTAAATCACACTCCCACCAACATAGTCATGTTGATATAATTTTATAGTGTAACATAGACCTGTCCCAAGGATTTATACTATCACCTGTCTCTGTAGAATCTGAGCCCCTTCAATGTAATATCAATTAGCAATAGCAAAGTCACTAGTGGACTTTATGGAGTTTTTTTTTGTTTTTTCTCCCTTTTTGAGGTATAAAACATTGCTTGGGATTGGGTTACGTGTATGTAGAAAGCCTTTACAAATAAGATAGTACTTTGCTCTAGATGAGAAAGACCTTTGTTGCGTTGGGTCAGTTTAAAGTTTGAACCTTAGCTTGTAAGCTGTTTGGGGAAGAAACTTTTTGTTCTTTGTTCAGTTCCTAGCACCATGAGGTCCTGGCCCATGATTAGGGCTTCTAACTGCTGCCACAATACAAACAATAAATAACAGGACACCACTAGTATCTTTTGGTTTTCTCCCACATGTCTGAAATATTACACATCTGCAAGGACAGGTTTACAGTTACTTTCTCCTATTGTCTGTGCATGTCCCTAATGACCATATTTGTTGTTTTCTCCATTTGCATCTTTTGCTTATTGTCACTTTTTTAGTCTCATGTTCTGCAGCTCAAACTTTCGTGACACACTGCAAAAGTGTTTCAGCTGGGAGAATCTTTTTAAAAAAAAAAATCATTCTTGTGGTCTGTTGGTTTATAATCAGTGTTTATGGATAAGTATTTTATCCCAGAAACATTTAAGAAAAACACAAATGTTTGTCTGTGTGTGTGTATTTAACATAAGGCAAAGAACTGCATATTCCATCCACAATTCCATTCATTTAGAAAGGAATCTGAAATCCCTGATATGTTACAGGAACAAAATGGAAACCATAGTTTAGGTCCCGCTCCTACAGACACTTATTCATGTCCTTAATTTCACATACTGTGAGGAGTCCCACTGATTTCACAGTATGGGAAATTAAGGACTGCATAAATCTTTGCAGGATCGGGGCCTTGGTTTCATGTTGTTATGTCAGACACTTAAAGTCAGATTCTGCCACCCTTGCTCATGTTAAATAGTGCCTTACTCTACTGGAAATATTCTAAAGGAATTTGCCCATTATTTTCTGTGTCATTCGTTGGAACAGTTATCTTTAGGGGCCAAATCCTGCCATAAGTACCACACCACAGATATGATAACTGCCTGTAATACAGCACTTTTCATCCTAGCTTAATTGCCTTTGATTGTGGGTAACAAAAGAAGCTAATGAATGAATATGCCCATGTTTAATTCTTCTCCAAAGGGGAACTTATGAGTCTCCTTTTCTATAAGCCTATGATAATGAGATGACAAACTGCAACAGATCCTGACTCATTTACAAATACTTGAGTATACTTTAGGAATGTGTATTCAAACTGAATATTTGTGTATGTTTGGTTAATATTCAGATACTAATGTGACCTCACATGCAGCTATATCCTGATCTTATAAACACTTGCTTACCACTGTGAATTGTTGAATTTAAGTCAATGGAATATCTCACACTGGTGAGCACTACACTGAAGTTATTGGGACAACACAACACATGTGAGTAAGGTGGACAGGCTTTGGTCCCATATTTGCTAGTATGGAGCCTGATCCTGCAAATATTTGTGTATATGAATATTATTATTTCTTTGTATTACAGATTTAGGGCCCCATTGTGCTGAGTGCTGTACAGAACCAAAAATAAATGACATTTCTTGCTACAAAGAGTTTACAAATGGACTTCTGTTCCCATGTGTTGCACCACTGCAAGATCAGTGTCTACAAAGAGCCAGGACATGACAGGAAAAAAGGCACATTAAGACACCAAGCATGTTACCAGGTTGCATATTAACTAAGTGTAGAATTCTGAGGTTGTATGTTATAACTCAATGGGATTACACAATTGGGTATAGTTACTCACCTGCATAAGTGTTTGGAAGAGCAGGCCCTAGATTTTTTTTTTTTTTCTAAAGCAGCATTAATAGTTGCATGTAATGTAGACCCTGATCCTGCAAATACTTAGGTGCTTAAAGTTAACCATGTGTGTAAATGTTTCCAGGTTCAAGACCTCACATTGGAATTTTTACATTTTTAAATGAATAGTATCAGTATTTTCCAGATCAGAATACTCATCTAATTTTCTTTTTCAAACCAGTTTTACTTTTTGGAGAGTCAGTGAGTAATTTGATAAAATATTAGATCATGTAGCAATTGATTTTAAATATGTTTTACCATATTAAATATTAAACTTACAATATTAAATATTTTAAGTTAAAACCCCTGATTTCTGTCACATATCTAGAACCTGTGAGTAGTGGACCCTAGACCACCTCCAAGGGAACTACACATTTAACTAGACTGCTAACAGTTTCTTGCAGCCAGCCAAATGCAAAGTAATACATCTAGGAACAAGAAATGCAATCCATACCTACAGAACAAATGGAGACTATACTCTGCAAAACAGTGACTCTGAAAAGGATTTAGGGGTCATACTGGACAAGCAACTGAACATAAGTGCCTAGTGTGATGTTGTGGCAAAAATGGCTCATGCAAGGATTGAATGTATAAACAGGGGAATAGTGAGGTGGAGCAGGAAGGTGTTAGCTCTATATATGTGATTGGTGAGACTGATACAGGAATACTACATCCAGTTCTGGTGTCCACATATTAAAGGATGTTGAAAAAATGAGAAAGGGACAGAAAAAAGGATGTGGGGTTGGTGAAAATGCCTTTTAGGGAGAGATTTAAGGAGCTCAATCTGTTGAGCGTATCAAAAAGAAGATTGAGAGATTATTTGATTACAAAAAGAACAGGAGTACTTGTGGCACCTTAGAGACTAACAAATTTATTAGAGCATTGATTACAGTGTCTAAGTACCTTCTTTTTAACCCATTAGAGAAAGACATAATAAGAGCCAATGGCAGGAAGATGAAGCCAGACAAATTCAAATTAGAAATAAGGCACACATTTTTAACAGTGAGGGTGATTAACCACTGGCTACCAAGGGAAGTAGTGGATTCTCCATCTCAATGTCTTGAAATCAAGACTGGATGCCTTTCTGGAAATTATGCTTTAGCCAAACACAAGTTATTGGGCTCAATGCTCGGTAACCTGATGAAATGTAATGGCCTGTGAAAACAGGAGATCCAATTAGATGATCTAATGGTCCCTCCTGGCCTTAAAATGCTATGAATTTATGAAACCCCAAGTAATTGGATGAAGTGCAGGAGGACTAGGAAAACAGCCAGTATGCAGGAATACAGTGTAGCTCCCCAGTGGCTGCTACATCACCCTGTGAGCTTGAGCAATAGTCCTAGATGCTCCTTGTACTGTGTAGGAATTGCCAGATATGTTTAAATATGGATCTCATAATTCCTCCTCAGGGCTGTCCCCACTGCCATCCTTCACTCTTCAGAGCCAATGCAAGACTCTTCCCTAGTAGCCACAGGCCTTCAGTTGTGAACAGGGCCATGGCCATCCCCAAAAGAATTATTTTTATCTCCTAATGCAGATTTCAGCTTTACAAAATTGGAATGCTGGGGAAAAGAGCTACATTGTTGGGGGGTGTTCTGTGCTAATATTTGATTATCTTAGTAGCAACAGTCTAGATCTGTCCAAGTGGCTGGATATGGCCCATAATTACAGATCATTCATAATATGGTTTCTTCAGAGTTTTTAATGGAAGTTTGTGTGAGAATATGCTCTATATTCTGCAATTAGTTAATGTTTGTAGAGTGCTTTGAAGGTGAAGAAAGTTGTGTAAGTGCTAAATCACCCTGAACTGTTCATTTATATAAATGTAAAAAGTTCTTATTGTAAAAATACCTATTGTGCCTGTACAGAGTCAATTTATAAAATGTCAATGTTTCTACAGGTTCTACTTTAGAGAGGTGCTAATCGATATAATCAGGGCCACAGTCCTTACACAGGCAAAACTGACAATGATATTTTCCTCATTGAGGACAGCAGGTTCAGGCTCTCATCTTGCTAAACTACTACAATTATACCTTTGTTATTATACTTTATCTTATAACTTAATCACACTAATTTAAGTCAGATTTGGTATAAGAAATTCTCTCCCAAGTTGAGATTTATACATCATGTTATAGCCACCAGTGAATTTGACTGTTAACTACAGTAGAACAATGGTAACACTAAAGGGGCACTTTGCTGTGAGTTAAATTTGGTTCATGGTCACATAGGTGAGACATTTATATGTACTTACATAGCAGGTATTATATAATATTTGGATATGTTTTTATTCTTGCTTTCTGTTTAACATTTCATACTATTTTAAATAGTTGTAAACATTTTAATCAGAATTAAAGCAGATGAAGACTGGTGGAAAGAGTAAAGTAAAAGGTGAATACTTCAGTGCAGATCCTCAAGTGGTGAAATCTAGCATAGTCCCATTGAAGTCAATGCTGTTATGACAGTTTTTACCAGCTGAAGTTCTGCCCTTTCATACTCAAAGAACCCCAAAGTGCTGGACAAATCATCTTTAAAAAAAAAAGATTTTAGCTGTACCACTTTTAATATTGTCAATAGTAACAGCATGACTGAAACCCATTTACAACAGCATTAGATATTATAATTTACTGTGAGAAAAAAGAAGATTTGATCACAGAAACATGAGCAAAGAGTTCCAGCTCTCATGTTGATTCTCGTGATTTTGGGCAAGTTACTGCACCTTTCTGGCACAGTTTTCCATATGTAAAGTGGGGATAATATTCATGCACCTCACAGGTTGTTCTGAGAGGAGCTGGTCAAATAATGCAATTAGATTAATAAAGCATTGTTCATCTCATTATTAAATATTAAACCATTTCTAATTGTGAGGATTACTGTTTGTATATAAGTGCTAAGTACAATTGTTTAAGTGGACTTGGTATCCTGAGCAAATAAATTTCAGGTGATTATGCACTGCCTGTCCGAATTCTGTTATTCTTCACATGACCTCCTTAATAATAAAGGCAAAGCAAAATATAACAATACATCTGTATACTGTTGTTGAGCAGAATGGCTACAGAAATTTTATCATAGTGGTGGCTGTATTTCAGTGGTGACTGAGGTTGCTCCATAAGTACAGGCTACAAAAGCTTATCAGTATATTTCTAGATGAACAGCTATAGAATATCATGAAAAAGGCAATATTAGCCAAGACAAAGGGATTATTTTGAAAAGTACCGGCTCTTATGTCCCATGAGAATGATCAGACAGAAGAGCAAATCCACACCATAGGTGGCCAGCATTAAGAGTCAATAACTGAGTCTAGACTCTTAAAAGTGTTACCAACCAGGTATACCACACATTGTATATATTTCTAATACACACAAAAATTGGCTGATCCTTCAAGCCTAACACAGACAAAACTATTGAATCTCTGTATGAGGACTGGGCTTCACAATCTTATGTATTATTTCTACATATTTGAAATTACTAAGGGCCTGATCCAGCTCTGGCTGAAGTCAGTGGGAGTTTTCCCCTTGTAAAAGTGTGCCCTAAATGCAGAAAATAATTGCATGGAACTTTGAAATTTTACACATGTATAGCCCAGATTTTAGAAGCAGGTGAACTTGTGTTTTCCGTTCCACACCCATTTTTGTTAGTTTACAGAGAATTATTATAGGAATAGCCATTCCATGTAACTGTGGACAACTTGAATGGGTAATTAATATACACCGATCTGGAAACTGCAATAAGTGGAGTAGCTTCCCCTATAACGTTTGTCCCTCTCTATGGTTTTTCAGGGTCTGTGCACTTCCTAATTTTCCCTGCTGCAGTTTCCTCTATGAAATTATTTTGTTTCTTAAATAAAAAGTCAACTGAAATAATAGTGATGTGGCTCTTGCTGTAAAGATGCAACCGGCTAAAACAAACAAACAAAAAAAACATACGTTTTGTTCTAACAGAGGTTACAGTTTTGCTAGGAGCATCACTAAAGCAGGTAACTTTAAAACGGCATTCATTTTTTTGCTCTGATAATGCAGACATTAAATGTTAACTAGAGGTACCGGGACAAATCTTGTCCACTATGAGGGGGTGATTGAGAGCAGATCTGTTTCTTGTTTAGTCAAAGCAACTGCATGTGTGAAGGAAGGAAATGTGCCTCAATCGTTCAGCCAGAAATGATGCTAGGATTTCCAACCTGTAGGACTGAATTTGCTTTGTGTTCTGAGTTTCGGCTGAGTTTTAGACAGTGGCCTTCAATGTAAATACTTCAGTTTAATAAAGTAACATTAAATGGGAATCAGATTTGCCGTTTTCCTCCCACAGTATCTAATCTCTTAGGAAGGCTTCCTTTCACATTTATTTAATCGTTTCGGTATCAGCAACATGTTATTGAAAAATGAGTGCAGCTGTTTTCTCTATCAAAGCTGCTTCTCAAGTAGGATTTGGGAACTCTGTGTAGGAATGGGTGGGGGCACTGAACTTTCAAACAATACAGACCAAAAACATCCAGGAGTTAAGGGCAAAGAACTATAGAGAAACTGAACAAAGGTAAGGTTGACGAGTCTTAACCACTTTTCCCTCTAAGCTGTACATGGGTGCACATGCACACAGATCCTAAACCCTACACACAGTGAAACACCATGCGCACAAAAATTTGCACAGAAGAAATTTTTTGTGCACTCAGCCTGTCAAAAATTTGCAAAGAAGAAATTTTTTGTGCACTCAGCCTGTCAAAAATTAGAGGGAACATTGATCTTAACTGTTAGGATTTGAATTTAATTCACTATGGGTGTCTTCAAAGAGATACAGTGTAAGACTACTACACTCTTGAAAATGCAAATGCAGAAACAACCAGCCAAAAGAGTCTTATCCTGGACCATCTGTACAAAACTGACAATAAAACAAAGTGAAATTTGCACGTGTAGGTGGGGGTGAAGCTAAACCCTGAGCGGTGGAGACAGCAAGCAGGGGAGAGGAGAGCACTGAACTGACACTTCAGCTTGGAAAGAAATCACACAACCCTTCAGACAAACTCATAATCAGATTCAACATAACCTTGTATTTCATCCATTTCAGGTACAGTATCAGGTCAGTATGTCAGAGAGAAAACAGCCTGAGATCGTATTAAATCCCACAAGTGACTTACCCACAGGCTATTTTTATCCTTCACTGCACTGTGTGTGTGTGTATTTGCACAATACAGAAAGGCTCAGCAACGGAATCTGGTAACATTTCAGAGGGAAAATTGATATAATCTAGTGGCTACATAGGTGGCATGATTTCCTTTGACTTAAAGGGGAGACTAGGGTTTGCCTAAACAAACTGACATGCCCCCCCTCAGCAGCTTTCTTCAAGTTTGTGTCATATCCTCATTTCATGTTTACCCAAATAAATCTGCCGTCAGCAAGGAAAGGCCCCATCCCTCCTAATGTTTTGCTAAGAGAATAGTTAAACCAACGACATAAACAGGACTATTTCGATTAGAGGAATGATCTTCCTTTGAAATAGGTGGAGAGCTTCAGATTGTTTTCGGGACATAACCCCCCATATCAGAAAACTGATTTCCCATTTAATGTTACTCCCCTCGGTCCTTCCCTGAAAAAAAAAAAGACTGTTTAATACTAAGGGGATCATCTTATTTCCTTCCCCCTCCAGTAAAGTTGTGCACTAGCCTTCCGAGCTGAGCCCAGGAATTCCACCAAACCAATGAAACTAGAACAGCAAAATAACTCCACTTCGCACGGAAGACAAGACCAAGAACAAACCAGACAGACATTTAGGGACGCTAATAATAGCGGGGAGAGAGAGAGACCGCAGAAGAGCTCTGGTGAGTAGGAAGAAGTGAAGGGGAAACTGATAAGGAGGAACGAGGACAACACAAACCCTTGGCTAAACAATAGCGGCAGGCAGGCGAATAGGAAATGCCTGTGCAGTGCCGAGCGTGCATGTACCTACCAGTTCCTCCCAGGCAGGGCTGCGGGTACTATAGGAAGGGTGCCCATGCTGCTCCATCACCCCCCACAGCAGGGCTCTCCCCCGCCAGGCTGGGGAGAGCGGGGAAGACAGGGCACCGCCGGCGGCTGCTGCTTCTCCTGCTGCAGGTTGTGGCAATTAACCAGCTTTGCTGTTCTCTCTTCCCCCGTGCACCGCGCTCCCGCCCTCCTCCTTCACCCGTCTCTTTTCACTCAGCCTCCTCCGCCCCCGACCTGTTTCTCTCCCACAGACTCGGCGCGCAGATCCCTCCCTCCAGGGACCCGGGGCTGCAGCTGCCTCGCAGCCCACATGACCCGCCTGTCATCCCATATATGGTGTTGAACCAATAGCGGCAGCTTTTGCCGTCACTGCTGCCTCAGGATCCGAGCCAGAGGGAGCTGCAGCAAGCGGCTTCCCCTGCTCCCCCTAGGGCTCTGGAGCAGGAGCAGCTCGCTATGGCACCGAGCCCCCCGCCCACTCCCCCGGGGAAAGACGCTGGCAGCCCAGGGAGCTGGGTTAGCGACTCCCGGTAACTGGTTACAATGACAACTGCGCCTCGGCTCTGCTAAACTGGTGCCTGGTGTGACCTACATACGTCGCCGGATTTCCAGCCATCCGGCATGGAGCCTAACCCCCTGCTCTCTGGCCCCTGACCCCTGCTCCCCATCTCCCTGCTTAAGAGGGGTTCGGCTACTGACTTCAGTAGCGGCAGGATCCGGGCTTCGGACCGTGCCCCAGAGCTTGCAAAGCCGCCTGGCGCTTGGTTTGTATCGCCCCGCCCTCCTCTTTTGCGCCCAGCAGGTGTCAATTATCCAGCTCATCCCCCAGTAACACGGTCCGGTTAATCTGCTGTCTCCCGCCCCGCACTCCCGCTGGCTGCCACACGCGCAGCAGGGCACTAAATTATCACATGCACCAGGGAGTACACGCAATCGCATTTGACATAAACCGGTTTAAAAAAATCGTATGTGGGCTGTATCCATTCTTCAGTGTGGGTACTGTCCAGCCGCCTGCTCCTGCCCGCTTATTTCTTTCTCGAGGGTGCTGAAAGGATCGCCCACTCCGTGTCGACAGACTAGAGCGCTCCGGAATCATGTTGTAATTTTTAATCCCCGAAGCGTGTTGGTCTCCTTCTCCCCCGCCTCCAGAGCGCTGTCTGATTGACCTAACGATGGAGCATGTTTCCGGAGCGGAGTCAGAACCGCAATAGGATCAGTGTGTACACACCCAGGCGGCCAGGCCTGCTTTAACAGGAGCAAGTCAGATTGGTTGCTACCTGTCGAGAAAGGTAACTGTGGAGGAAAGAGCATGACAAGAACTTCCAAATGCTTACATCACGCAGCTCCTGTCTCAAGTTCTTTACCGCAGGGTCTTTGCTAAATCGGGAACCTCTGGATTTCTCGCTTCACAGTGAAGAACTCCAGGTGATGGATGCAGTCAAGATCCTGAGCGGGGGAGACTTTGTCTTTAGGTCTCTAACCTCCGTCTCCGATGGTCTGGGTGCACTGCCAAAGATCCATCTTTAGTGGCTCTCGGCACACGCTGACTATCTCCACCGGTCTCCTGCAGGACGAAGTGTGCCTGGGTTGATTTCAAAAGAGTCCCATGGAGGGTGAGTGTGCAGGGGCACGCCACTGTGTGCTTTTCATTTCCTAGGGCCAACCTTCCTTGTGGCGACTGGTAGGATTTCTTTGCTCTCCATGCCATCAAGCCTTTTATTAATACACGCTGTGTATACTTTAGACTTCTCAGTTTACTAGTTACCGGAACACCCTTGAACCACAGCCAGTGTATTAAAACTGCTTCAAGTGGATGTTGTGCCTCTTTATGAGCTGCAACACGTGTACTCTTTTGTTTCTGCCAGTTGCTGTAGAATTGGCAAATAGTGTCTACAAGACAGATGGAAAGGCTTGGCACATTCGAAAGGCTGCATGTACAGAAAGACAGATTAAACAAATGAAACTCGAAGAATTGTTGATGACAGCTAAAAACAATACTTACACGATCTTACACTAACCCGGTGGTTCCCAAACTTTAACAACCTGTGAACCTCTTTCAATAAAATGTCAAGTCTCGTGAACCCCCTCCTAAAAATGAATATTTCCAGGGATTTTCTCCTTTACCTGAGTATAAATTATAAAAGCAGTGATCTTGGAAATATAAAATTAGTTTTTATGACATGCTTATTACACACTATTATTATTATTTATCATTACAGTATTTTTATTACATTATGAAAATGGCAATGCTCTTCCAAGATCTCACTTTCGTAGCTTGGATTACTTTGAATAAGCCTGTTACAAAACAAGGCTCCTACGTTTCATCAAGGAGTATCAGATGTGAAACAGCAAGAAGATATTTAAGAAGTCAACTCAAAGAGTTCCTCCTACACAAGCATTCAGGTCTTGAGCAGTCCAGGAAAACAACGCACGTTACAACAAAGCTTAAACTTGTTCTTCCTAATAATTTTAAAAACAATACTAGCTGTCTATTTAATTTTCAAAACAGCAAAAACTATCCCCCCCTTTCCATTTCTTATAAGGAGTCTTGACATTTAAATCTCCTCAGTGGGATAGATATGCTTGCTTTGATCTGCTTAGCTCTTGGAAGTCCAGGGGCTGCTGGCCCCATGCTGCCTGGGGTCCCTAGGGACAGCTCTGTCTGCCATTAGGGAATTTTTCCCCCCAGAACCCCCTGTAACATTTCATGAATCCCCAGGGGTTCACGAACCCTAGTTTGGGAACCACTGACTAACCTATCCCTTCTGTATTCCTTTTCATTCCAGCGTGCCAGAACATGCCCTTTTCAATCTGAAGCAATCAAATCAGACTTTTAAAAGTAATGTCAATATCACCTATTCAAAAAACATTAATAATCAGAAGAGGACTTACTATTTCTAAACTATAGTTGCAGTTCAAAAGAAACAGGAAGGGAATTTGTCTTTACGATGATACTCTGAAAGATAGTTTTTGTAAAAACGACTATCTTAATGTTTAAAAACTTTCCTTTGGTACTAACATTTTGGGAAACTACTATCTGATCTCTAGTTTTCCCATTTTGTAAAATGTATTGAGAGTTTACAGAGACCCTACCCCAAGTAGAGCCTTCTATAACCAGGAAGAAAACTGAGAGGACTAGTCTACATGTGCGTTTTTGGATTTTAGTTAAATTGATGCAGTCTCATAACTTGGACCAGGTCTGTTTGCACAATGGCATTTATAGGAGTATAGCTTGTTTTGGTAACTGGTACAACTGCATCCACTCTAGGAGGTTGCACCAATTTAATGAAATTGGTTTTTCTAATGATTTATTAAATCAACGCAAAAACTGTATGTGGACAAACCCAGAGACCCCATGAAGTCCATCCACCATGAACTCTGCTATTGCCAATCTATTTTAGGTGGAAGGTACTCAGTTACTATACAGATGGGTGGCAGTATAAAATCCTGAGATGGTGATAGATCAGGTCTTGCAGGTGTAGGATTCAACCTTTTTTACCATCTTTTATTATGGTTTCAGTCTGTTTCATGGCAGAGAGATAGATCTGCTCAAAGTAATGGATGGTCTTCTAGAAATGGATGAAGGGAGCTATTCTTCTTGATAGTAGTAGATCTATCAGCAATCTGTTGATAGACAGGTGGTGGTGGTAAGACTGGATCCCTGGTGGAAGTAGACAAATTGCTCTTCAGTGGTTCACTTTGTTATTGGAGGGGAGGTCTCAAAATGTAATGATGGGTGATTGCTCATCATTGCCTAAGAGTTTTGTGTGTGAGGGCCAACGAGCTTCTCTCTTGTCACTCCTATTGCTCATGTAGATAAGGTGCTGTTCGGAGATGTGATCGTATGAAGGGTGTCTTTACTAAGATACTATCTTTACTATCTTTGATGTTACTCAGCTCACTTCTTTTACTGGTGATCTACAGTAGGTTCTGACATGATTGTTGTTTGCACTCTTTGTCATCTGGTCTTCTTTGGCCTTGTCTACACTAGGCTTTTATGACAAAAATGTCACACCACTGACACCAGCTAGTAGTAGCAACAGTAGGCATGCTAGTGCAGAAAAACTGCCAGCTGCCACTGACATTTTAGGCACCATGTTTGTAGACCTGTTTTGAGCAGAGCTGACTGATGTTGTGGTCCCTCTGGAGACTTGTGTACTCGAGCACTCACTGTTGCTACAACCAGTAGTAGAAAGAGTGGGAAAATTTGGGCAAAAACTCTTTGTTGATGTAACTCATGCTAGCACAGTGTTTGACTTTGTTGCCCTCTAGTGACAGATTGACAGAGTAGCATAAAATTCTACTACAACTAATAGCTGAGGAAATTGTTCTTTTAGCTCAAGTGGTAGAGACTCATACTTTTACCACTGAAGTACCAGGTTCAACCTCTGCTGACTTCATTAATGACTAAGATAGTGGAGTGGAGAGTATACTTGTAAAATTTGCAGATGACACCAAGCTAGTAGGAGTTGCAAGCACTTTGGAGGGCAGAATTAGAATTCAAAATGACCTTGATAAATTGGGGAACTGTTCTGAAATCAACAAAATGAAATTCCATAAAGACATGCAAAATACAGCTCTGTCACTGAGTGGATATGGGCAGTCATGCCTAGTGGTTGGAGCAGAAGTCAGGCCCAGTGGTCTGAGCCAGAGTCAGAGGCCAGATATCACAGAACCAAGAGTCAGAGCTAAAGTCAGAGGTCAGGAATTGGAGCCGAGGGTCAGAACCAGATTACATAGAGCAATGCAAGGCAAGAACAGGGCTGGGCTGGGCTGGAAACAGTAGGCACAAGAGCTATTGCAGCCCTGGGCAGATGCTTTGGGCAGCCACTAAATTGCTGCTGCTGCTGGGCTTAAAAGCTGGTCTGCTGACCTTGCCAACCAATCAGGCAGTGTAGCCAATCAGGCAGCCTACTACAGGCCAGGTCATGTTGCCCGAGACTGGCTCTGCTGCAAGCCCTGCTTCCTGACAGTACTGTCCACTCAAGGGCACCTTATAGGGGGTCTCGGGGCCTGATTTCTTGGGTACTTCTGATGGAACTTTTCCACAATGTCTGGGGCATTCTCTACTGGTTCCCAAGACCACTTGTCTAGACTGTATCCTTCCCTTTCCACCAGGTACTAGAGCCTTACTCTAACTCACAGAGAATAAAGGATTTGGTGGACCAAGTACTCTTCCTGTCCACAGACTGTTATGGGAGGTGGTGGAGGAGTTTGGGCATAGGTTCTCAGTGTAGGGCTTTAAAAGTGAGATGTGAAAGACGGGGTGGATCTTCAAGGAATTGGGCAGCTGTAACCTGAAGGCC